GACTCTGACTCGGAGTTACTTATTGATAAAGCAGATATGAAGATGACCGCAACATACAAATGTACAAAAGTGATAGCGCCCTCCGGGAATTTCAAATTCCGTGAGATTTCTGATGAATTTAATATCTCTGTGAAAGGTAAGCTGCTTGGATATTTGACATACCTTGCCTATGATGTTCTCAGATAATCTTGGGGATATACCTATGCATCCTGACCAAAGGCTTAGAACCCAATGACTGGAATTCAAGTCTTAAAACCCAATGATTAGAACCCTAGGAGTATAACCCAATAATTAAAACTCAAGGCTTGGAACCCAATGATTAGAGCTCAAGGCTTAGAACCCAATGATTAGAGCCCAAGGCTTGGAACCCAATGATTAGAGCCCAAGGCTTAGAACCCAATGATTAGAGCCTAAGGCTTAGAACCCAATCATTAGGGCCCAAGGCTTGGAACCCAATCATTAGGGCCCACGGCTTAGAACCCAATGATTAGAGCCCAAGGCTTAGAACCCAATGATTAGAGCCCAAGGCTTGGAACCCAATGATTAGAGCCCGAGGCTTAAAACCCAATGATTAGAGCCCAAGGCTTAAAACCCAATGATTAGAGCCCAAGGCTTAGAACCCAATCATTAGGGCCCAAGGCTTGGAACTCAATGATTAGAGCCCAAGGCTTAGAACCCAAGACACAAAATCCAATGACTAGATCCCAAGATTTAGAACCCAATGATTAGAACCGAAGGCTTAAAATCCAATAATTAGAACCCAAGGTGTAGAACCCAATAATTAAAAAGCCAAGGCTCAGAACCCAATGAGGGGACCCCAAGGCTTAAAACCCAATGATTAAAATCCAAGGCTTAGAACCCAATTATTAAAATCCAAGGCTTAGAACCCAATGATTAAAACCCAAGGGTTAGAACCCAATCATTAGAAAAAAAAAGCTTAAAATCCAATGATTACAGCCTAAGGCTTAGAACCCAATGATTACAGCCCAAGGCTTAGAACCCAATGATTACAGCCCAAGGCTTATAATCCATTGATTACAGCCCAAGGCTTAGAACCCAATGATTACAGCCCAAGGCTTAGCATTCATTGATTACAGCCCAAGGCTTAGAACCCAATGATTACAGCCCAAGGCTTAGAACCCAATGATTACAACCCAAAGCTTAGAATCCATTGAATACAGCCCAAGGCTTAGAACCCAATGATTACAGCCCAAGTCTTAGAACCCAATGATTACAGCCCAAGGCTTAGAACCCAATGATTACAGCCCAAGGCTTAGAACCCAATGATTACAGCCCAAGGCTTAGAACCCAATGATTACAGCCCAAGGCTTAGTACCCAATGATTACAGCCCAAGGCTTAGAATCCATTGATTACAGCCCAAGGCTTAGAATCCATTGATTACAGCCCAAGGCTTAGAACCCAATTATTACAGCCCAAGGCTTAGAATCCAATGACGAGATACCAAGATTTAGAACCCAAGGCTTAGAACTCAATTGTTATAACACAAGGCTTAGAATCTAATGATTAGAACTTAATGATGAGAACCCAAGGCTTAGAACCCAATGATCAGAACCCAAGGCTGCGAAATCAAAAATTAGAACCCAAGGTGGGGGGAGTGGGGGGTTTGGGGGGCTTGTGAATCACAGGGCTGGCTGACAGGGACTTTTTTTGGCAAGAAACCAGTTGGCTTATATGTATTTTAGCAGTTTGATCGATCCAAAGCTGTCCCTCACGGTACTTTTTTCCACCACAAGATATCCTCAGTCTTTTCAGGCTGAATGACATGTGGATGGCCCCAGGAGATGCCCACATGTGATGCTGAGCCCCCATGATTGAAATAACTAAAATCCAATGGATGAAAGGGGTTGGCCAGGGACAGTCAGGGAGGAAAGGACAGATGATGCTGGACAATCTGCAGATTCTAATGCACATTGTGAGATGCTCACTCTCAGGAAATGCTATTATGTTATATATGATGAAGTGACTGAGTGGTTAAGGTGTTGCTGACGCGCTTTCATGTTCTGCATGCATGTGTTTTCCCCTCAATGGCTTCCTGCCACAGGTGGGCAACTGCCATCCGACCAAGCTGTGATTTTGTATAAACTGAGCAAAAACAATTGAGAGTAAGCTCTTCCGGGCCAGCGACTAAATGGATTATTATATACAGTATTATTATTATTCTGTGTAATATGTTTACTCCTTAAAGATTAAAGATTAGATCCAACTCCCAATCACTAAAAGCTTGTGTGAGCTTTCATATGTTCATAGAAATTCAAAAGCCATTCTTTAAATCTGCAGCACTCATTTTAATCCCTGGTGATCCATATGGAGCTCTGTGTTCAGGCACTTCCTGTTATAGGGTGACAATGCTCTGTCCCTGTCTCCTAATTGTGCTCCTGCATTGTCACCCTGTCACGATGGTGGACATTCTACCACCCATTACCTAGACATGGTCCAATGCGGTCACCATCAGGAAACCCGCCCTAAGAAATGGCATTCATCCAATATGTCATTGTCATGATTTTCTCTTCCAGAGCTCTTCTCTCCTCCGGAAATAATAGTGACCCCGAACAGGGTAATAGAAGGAGGTGACATGACGGTGACGTGTGACACCAGACTGGATTTGCTCAGAGCCGGCACAGAGATCCTGTTTGCTTTCAACAGAGACGGACGGACCGTGCGGGAGTTCAGTGTATCTGATACATACAGAGTGCGGTCGGCTCGGCTGGGGGATTCTGGGAAATACACATGCGAATTCAGGGCCATGTGCGGCTCTGGGAGGAAGATAAGTCATGTGATCAGCATCCAGGTACATCTACAAGGTAATGCATTTAAAATGTGTTAGATGCCTCCCACCCCCAACTAAACAATGGCATGATCCAGACACCCCAGGCACCCCTGCCAGACAGCAGAGCCAGGCCCTTTTTGAATCTGCCTGGGGTGAGCTTTAAAGTGTATGTATAGTCAAAACTTTTTGAATAGACTAGGGAAGGAATAAAACCACTATCAGTGTTAGGGAAGGAGCGAAGTCCCCCTGTTTTCTGGATTGGACCCCAATAGCAGGGAACAATACCAGAAGGAGAGTCCAGGCTGAGGTACAAGATAGGGTGATCCAAAATGCGTTGTCAGAGTACAGTCCGGGTCGAGTATCATAAACGAGAAGACAAGCCAGGGGTCGATAGCCAGGAGATCCAAATAGCGGGGAAGGAAGGCAGGAAACAGGAAATGAGGCTTCGTAGCTGCTTTGGGAATGGCAAAATAACTCAGCCACAAGTCTTGGCTCTGGCTGGAATTTAAACCCAACAGGGGCCAGCGACGCCCCCGGTGTCTCTGGGAACCAATGGGACAGCTAGGAGAGGAATGCTCGCAAGGCCCTCCCTGGCAATGATCAGCACCCGAGGCGACTAATAAGCCGTGACAGTGTCACTTGCGCACGTCACGCATGTGCGCATGCGTGCACCTGCAACCCATCAGCCCAAGAAGGACCCAGAAATCAGCCCAAGAAGGACCCTACAATCTCTTCCGTATTCGCCGGACTCCAGGTAAGAGGGCACCCCTGGTCCCATAACAATCAAGTTATTAAGGGTAAAGATGAGGAGTCAAGGCTCACACAATCACCAGGAATGAATTATCCGCTGTATAAAGACTGGACACATCCAGGATCAGTGGATCTATGAATTAGCAAAACCCAATACTTCCTTTTATATTCATCCTTAAGCCCTGAAGAAGAGGTCTTTGAACCCCCAGAAACGTGTTGGCTGTTCTATGTTGTCTTTTTGTAGATGAATGTCATTAATGAGAAGCTTTTGGCTCTCAGACACTTCATTTGGTGCTCTTATTGGACTTTCTACATGTGAATTTTCAATCCCTGGCTCCCCGTTTCAGGGACACCCTGTTTCTGTTGAGAGTGGCCCCTGCTTATCACAATCTGATCAATCTATTCAAAAAAAAGAATCTAAAGTCTAAAGTGTAAAAGTCTAAAGTGTAAAAATTTAGATTTTTCCATTCAAACTGAAGACTGACTGAATGGCCGAACCTGCCCCAGCAATCTAAAAAGTCTGGCCCTGCCCGGCCAAGGTCAAAATTCAATTTTTCCCCATTCGATATAGTGAAAATCTCAATCCCGCGTCTTGTTTCTACTCAAAGAAAGCACAAAAGTATGGCAAGAAATGTACAAAATTAAATGCTGCACTATATAGGTTCTGCTCCCTTCCTGTGGGATCACATGACCTTCATAGTGTCTTGATACAATGTACAGGGCCGGATTTACTCTCTCTGCTGCCCCAATGCCAGGTTCCTCCATGAGCCCCCCGGTATTTAGGCTACCGACAAGTGATCTCCGCGACATCGCCGAGATCACTTGTACAAAACAAGCGGCCCTTCCGCGCTGTACATTTAGCCCTGCTTGCCCAAAGCAGGGCTAAATGTAGAAAACAACTACCCGCCTGGAACTGCATGTCCCGGGCATCGGGAGATAGGAATTCCACACCCCTGCTGCTCCTCTACTCCCTGCTGCCCCGAGGCCGGGCCTCAGTTGGCCTTGTGGGAAATCCGGCCCTGGCAATGTAATCATTTTCATAGATTGTGCCGCAGACCACTTGATCATCTGCCTCCTATTCCACTCCTCAGATTACACGGTGCTGAATATAATACGACTGGCGCTGTCTGCATTTGTATTAGCTGCCACCGTATGTCTCTCCTTCTTCCACACGAAGTGCTAGGGGAGGAAGAGGAAGAACTTCTAAGAAGCCGGAAGAGGAGAAACCTGAAGATAGAACTACAGTTCTTGGTGGACTTAATGAGTCATTACTTGCAGCTGATCGGCTGGGAAGCCAGTTTCCGGGGCAAGCATAATCAAGCCGGCCAAACAACATGGAGCCATTTTTAAGATATCGTTGAATCTTTTTTGATACCAAAATACATAAAGGCACAAAATTGGTAACAACCTGAACCGGACGTCTGACGTATTGGCTGCCGATGTGTCTCACCTTCTTCCACGATGGAGGAACTTCCACAATGGAAATTCTTTTATGGAAGAACGTCCAAGGCACCGTACGCTTCAAAGAATCTCCAACATGTCTTCACCACATTAGGAATGTGTAACAATGTTTTTGTATTTGTAATAAAAACTTTAAACTTGAATACCAGACAAACATTTATTTCTTAGTTTTGGGATGGGGTGTTGAAGGGTTTGGTCCTCGGTCAGTTTTTATTTAATTCCGTGTCCCTAAGAGAGGTTTCTACACCTTCAGAACAAAATCGGCTGCTGCTTACATGTAAGTGAATTTTTAGTCGGGTCCGGTCCCTCCCGTGTATGCACACTGCAATGTTCATGTTTAAAGCCTACAGAACGTTTGTATCCCACTGTGGGAATGCACCTCAGCAAACACACTTGGCACTGACACCCATTCAAAACTATTAGACTGCAGTAAATGTTAGGGATGCACCGATACCGATACTCGTATCGGTTTTGGTGCCAATACCGAGTATTTGGGCGAGTACTTGTAGTCACCAAATGCTCCAATGCCTTCCCCCAATACTAGAACTTCAGGTCAGAGTAAGATTTTTTCTGTCCAGCAGTGCCGTAGGGGAACATGGAGCCAGCTTCCTGTGCGATCAGGAAGATGGGCGGCGAGTAATGATCCGCCTCCCTGCTGAACAGCCGGCTCCTTGCTGATTGGCTGAACAGCCGGCTCGATGCTGATTGGCCGGAAAGCCGGCTTTCCAGTCAATCAGCATCAAGACTGCTTTCTGGCCAATCAGGACCTGGAAGGTGGCTCATTACTCGTCGCCAGGCTTCCTGATTAGCCGGGAAGCCGCCTCCATGCTGATTGGCTGGGTAGCCGGCTTCCCGGCCAATCAGCATCGAGCCGGCCGAACAGCCGGCTCCTTGCTGATTGGCCGAACAGCTGGCTCGATGCTGATTGGCCGGGAAGCTGGCTTTCCAGCCAATCACCATCAAGCCTGCTTTCTAGCCTATCAGGAAGCTGGGAGGCGGGTCATTACTCGCCGCCTAGGTTCTTGATCGACTGGAAAGCAGGTTTCCGGGCCAAGCTCAATCAAGCTGGCCACACAACAGTGAGCCAGCTTCTCAGGCAATCCAGGTTGCCCAGGAAGCCGGCTCCCTGCCAGCGGAAGCACCACTATCGGTACTTGGTATCAAGGAGTACTGAGAACAAAATATCGAAAAAATGGTATCGGTGCATCCCTAATAAATTTAGTACCTTTGGTAAAAGTTAACCAACCATCCAGCCAACCAGCCAGCCAGTCATCCAACCAAGCACCCAATCAACAAACTAACCAACCAACCAACCAAACAACCAACCAGCCAACCAACCAACCAACCAACCAACCATCCAGCCTGCTAGCCAGCCAACCACCCAATCAACAAACTAACCAACCAACCACCCAACCAACCAACCAACCAACCAACCAACCAGCCAGCTAGCCAGCCAGCCAGCCAGTCATCCAACCAACCAGCCATCAAAAAACCAGCTAGCTAACCATCCAACCAACCAGCCATATCTGGCTGAATACTAGGCCCCTATAGACTAGAATGAATGGAGCGTATGAAACCATTTCCTTTGCAGGCTGCATGAAGGACAGATAGATGCCAATCAATCCCTGAGAGTTTTTCACCGCTTGGCTGGGAAGAGCGTTGAATGAAAGTGAATGAAGGTGGATGAAGGTGAATGAAGGTGAATTAAGGTGTGTTTTATTAACCTGTGGCTCTATGATGCCGGGGATGCCGGTTCTTGGATCCTGGAGGGAGTGTTAGAACACTGATTCTAAACTCTATTGGCCAACATGTTATTATGGGAAATGTTTTTTAGTGCAGTGAACATTTCATAACTGTTCATCATTTTTTGCACACACCCTCTGCACTGATTTCAACATATGTGACATCTCTTGAAGTATACAATTCAGGAAATTAGAAGAGAGGCAAAAACTTCTCCATTTCAGACAGAAACATCGTACTGGTGATGTCCGTCATGTCCGTCCTCATTGTCGTATTTCTGTGTAAGTACAAAGAAGTCTATTCTATATGTTATCTGTGTTTCTGAGAACCTTCCCTGAGCTGATCATATACAAAGTAACACATATACCATAACACACATAACACACACCTGACACATAAACCTTAACACACACATAGTACATAGCACGTACACAACACACGTAACACACATATAACACACACATAACACACACACCCAAAACATAAACCATTACACATACACCGACATGTAACACACACACATAACACACACACCACCTAACACATAAACCATAACACACACATAACACACACAATAAACACATGAACCATAACACACACATAACACACACACAAACACATAAACCATAACACACACACACACACAAACACATAAACCATAACACACACACACACACACACACATAACAAACACAACAAACACATATACCATAACACACACGACTAACACATATACAATAACACACACATAACACACACAACAAACACATATACCATAACACACACATAACACACACACATAACACACACACCTAACACCTTTACCATAACACACACATAACACACACAATGAACACATAAGCCATAACCCACACACATAACACACACAATGAACACATAAACCATAACACATAAATCATAACACACACATAACATACACATAACACACACACCTAACACATAAATCATAACACACATACATACATAACACACACATAACACACACAACGAACACATAAATCATAACACACACACATAACATACACATAACACATAAATCATAACACACACACATACATACTGTAAAACACACCATACAAACCGGAGTCCACCATTTTCTTACTTGGTCCATTTTCAGGGAGACCGGGACCCTGCAAGTCCTCCCATCTCACTCTTAGTACACTCTATAGGATGATGACGGAGGATAATGAGAGGGAGGAGCCGACTGATTTCAGTCAAATTGATTTGGGTGCAACATTTCTGATTTTGCCATCAGTGGAACTCAGTTTTGCCGAATGAGCTGGAAACTTACAAACCTCCTACATTAAAAATGTGTTTTATTCGGAGGGTGTATTTGGGTCAGTTTACTTTAATTTAGTGATCTTTATGTTTGTATTTTTATATTATTATATTTTGTGTATTTGGTTGTTATTTGTGTTCTGTTCCTTTTTCCACCAGCTGTGTGTTCTGTGTGAGTATAAAAGTGAAATATTCGGGTCATGGAGGGGTCGTGTTTTAGCATACGTACAGGTCCCGGTTAGGTGATTGGAGCTTCTGTAGCTTTAAGGGGCTGTTTAACCTTTTCATTGCCGCTACGGATTGTCAGCTTGCATGTGGAAGATCGCTCCTACGTGTCTGTAACGTGGTGCCAACAACTCAATTTTGCACATCCCTTGTGTGTAACTCCATCGATTCTTTTGAATAGGAATATTTGTAAAAAATATGAACTCCATTTTTAGAGTTTTCAGGTTTTTACTCCATGAATTGTTCTTTGTTTGTTTCAGCAATGAATCTGGCAAAATCTGGTGAGTACAGAGCAGAGACTGGAAAGACACCATTCCAGATAATGGTTATCTCCCGGTAATAATGGAAATATGTGACAATGACATGTAGATATGTCTGTGAAGGTTCTCAGGCATCCATGTCATCGTATATCTGTAAAAAATAAATCAAAGCTACTGAGATTGCTGTATTCTTCTTGAAGACGTTTCGCTGGTCATCTGACCAGCTTCTGAATTGAAAAAGCTAGTTGGATGACCGGCGGAAAATCTTCATACCACAATAATACACTTCCCCATCCCCCGGCCAACCCATAAGAATACACTCCCTCCATTCCCTGGCCTCCCATAAGAATACACTGCGTCCATTCCCTGGCCCCGCATAAAAAAACACTCCCCCCATTCCCAGTCTCCCCCACAATAATACACTTCCCCATTCCCCAACCCCTGCTGTTAACACTACTTGGAATTTCAGTACAGCAGAAGCAGAGTTGTCAGCCCATTACAGGAAGTTGGGAGCTCACTGGATTTCTGGCAGGGACGGGAGTTTTTTTTTAAACATCTTTAAATGAGGCAAAACACGGCGCAATGTACAATTACTGCAGAGATGTTCTGATTATGTGTTTTTATGTTACCCCGATATGCACTTTAATTCTCTGCAGAGCGCTCTCATTGCTCGTTTGAAGCGACTGAAGAATCTGTAGCATTGCAGTGACCCTGATTCACTGAAGGAGTAAAGAATTTTCAACAGGAAAAGCCAACATTCACTAAGCAACGAATAGCCAATCATGTGCAGTCCAAAAACTTGCTTGCACGTGATTGGATGACTGTAGTCAGCACAACTTCACCTCATTCACTAAGCTAAGCGAATATAAAGTAGTTATATATAAAATCATCCTTACTGCCGGGTGTGTTGGATGCCGGGTCCCCCACTGGTGGTTCCATCCCCCAGCCCCCACCTCACTGCATTGTATTATATATATAGAGTGTTAAAGAGTAAGGGGGTTATTCACCAAACTGCCAAAAGGCAGCCGAGTGAATAACCGAGCCAAAGTGAAGTGAGATGAACGCTGTTCGGCTATTCACTTCAGCCTTGTACAGCTGATTTCAGCCTTTACATCGGCTAAAATCAGCCGTACATCGGCTAAAATCAGCCGTACATCGGCTAAAATCAGCCATACATCGGCTAAAATCAGCCGTACATCGTGGCCGAGCCCTGCGGAAGTAGAACGCTTTGTTTGTGTTTTTTTTGGGGGGGGGGGCCAAAAAAAATCTTGCACCAGGGCCCTTTGTTCCTTAGCTCCGCCACTGGCCCGAACGGCAGTGAGTGAACAGCCGGATGCCGCCGAGCGTAGAAAACAGGTGAAAAGAATGAAGAAAAAAAATAAAGTAGAAAAATGATTTTAAAAATGACTAAAAAAATAGGAAAATTAAGAAAAAAAGAATAACAATTGGGCGGCGCTACCGCTGACAGCTAGTCCGCCCAACTGTTTCCTATTGGAGTCTTCTAGCAGGTCCCAGCCAATGAATAACAACTGGGTGGAGCCGGCCTTAACATCACCGCCGGCTCCGCCCAGTTCTTATTGTTTCATGACAGATCAGCGTCCCCAGGTCATTTTGGGGACGCTGATCTGTCATTACAACTGGGCAGAGCCAGCCGCGAGATCCTGACGGGCTCCGCCCAGCTGTCATTTGAGTGGCTATACCACGCTTCGCGTGTCAATACAGCTCAGCCGAGCCGAAGCATATACGTTTGGCTTGGCTCAGCCGCCTGGCTGCCTTCATCTACATGTTCTTATTGTTGTACATTGTGTTATCTATGTGTTTATGTGTGAGCTCCTCTCCTCTATAGGAGGTGCCATCAGACCGTCGCTGACCTTCACACCCAACTGGGGGAATATACTATGGGGTGACTCCGTGACTCTAACATGTAATATGACATCTCCTGTACCAGAGAAACCCTGGACCTATCACTGGTACAAAGACAACCAACCGATACCTGGAAACCAACAGAACCTTCCAATAACATATTCAAGAGATGAGAACAGTGGAGATTACCGGTGCGGGATCAGTGTCAGTGATATCAGTGATCCCGTCACTCTAAATGTTACAAGCAGTGAGTTATCTGTCTCCATAAGTCCAATATACAGTATTGGTACGTGAGGTCTGGGGATGGTACGGGGGTCTGGAGATGGTACAGAAGGTCTGGAGATGGTACAGGGGGTCTGGAGATGGTATGGATTGACCATGGACCTCTTATCACTCGGATCGACCATGGATGGCGCATAGCCACACCAGTACACCAAAGCAGCGCATCTTTAGTTGCCCCATTGCCATAGCTGCTAATAAAGTTAGTCAATCTCTTATTGCCATCATGCTTAAAGCCATCATCTGTAGCATGTCATTTAAAAACAGGTGTTTTCCCCAGGTCACCCACGAAGTTGCATAAAATGGGGGGCCATCTCCCCGCTGAACTGTATTTTTTTATTTTGTTTGCATTGGTACATGTCCCCCAGGGCAGTGCCCAGCCCTCCATGCCTATAGTTGGAAGTCCCTCTCCCATTAGACTTGAAAAGGGAGAGAATTGATTTTCAAAGTTGCCCTTCCATTGACATCAATGGGGTTCACAACTGTGCCCCTCCTCCACCTGCAATCCCCCAATAGGGAATAAACTCCTTCAGTGTAGTTGATGGTTAGTGGAGAGGAGTCATGAAGATTTCTCCAAGATGGCTCCTCTGTGCTTCACATGGGTTCACAAGAAAGTCATTTTGGTTCTTTTGAGCCAACCTCACCATACCCTGCCTGGTTCTTGGCAGTCCGTCCACTCAAAGAGTAATGTGAATCTCTCTATTTCACTCATTCCTGTTCTTAATATTATAAAACAAATAAAAGCCCACCAGGGATAGTGGGAGCATCCGGTAGGGATGCACCGATACCGTTTTCTCGGTATCGAGTCCCGATATTTTTTTCCCGGTACTCGCCGATGCCGAATACCGATATTGGAAGTCCCATTAAGGAAGCCAGGCGGCATGTAATGACTCACCACCCGGCTTCCCGATTAGCAGGGAAGCCGTCTCAGTGCTTCTCTTCACTACATGACCAGAAAGCACGGAGCCGGCTTTCTGGCCAATCATGAAGCCAGGCGCCGTGTAATGACGTGGCAGCCGGCTTCCTGATTGGCCGGGAAGCTGGCTCCATGCTCCCTCGTCACGAGTTGATGAGGGAGCATGAAGCTGGCTTCCCGGCCAATCAGAGAGCCGGGCGTCGCATCATTACATGGCGCCCGGTTTCCTGACTGGCCAGTTTCCCGACCAACCAGGAAACCGGGCAGCGAGTCATTTACACGCTGCCCGGCTTCCTGATTAGCCCAGTAAGCCGGCTCCATGCTCCCTCGTCACGTGGAAGCTCGGGTATCAGGCTAGGCATCGGAGCATTTGGGCGAGTACAAGTATTCGGCATCGGCACCAATACAGATACTAGTATTGGTATCGGTGCATCCCTAATCTCCGGAGTTCAACCTCAATGACAGGAAGCGACTCAAACAATAATATAGACTCGGGATTTTAGCACGCAAGAAGCAACCCAATCAGTCACTTTATCAATGTCATGATTTCCTCTCCCAGAGCTCTTCTCTCCTCCGGGTATAAAAGTGACCACGAACAGGGTAATAGAAGGAGGAGACATGACGGTGACATGTGACACCAGACTGGATTCGCTTCGAGGTGGTACAAAGCTGCTGTTTGCCTTCTACAGAGATGAACGGACTGTACAGGAGTTCAGTGTATCTGATACATACAGAGTGCGGTCAGCTCAGCTGGAGGATTCTGGGAAATATACCTGTGAAGTGAGGACGGCGACTGACACTGTGAGGAAGAGGAGTGATGAGTTCTACATCCGGATATACGGTGAGCACATAACAATGAACCAGTGTCTTGTCCAATCACACATTGCGGCTACAGGTTCATATATAATATTCACTTCCCATCTCCTGCCATTAGTGGAATGTAGTAATGGGAATAACGACCTTCACCAAGATTACCGGGAATTTCAGGAAACTTTTCTAGGTTTGGGAGGGGGAACCGAGCACTTTAATACAAATAAATAAAGTCATTTATTTTTCTTTATGAATGTCAGTTTTGCTGCAGCAGGTTCTATACATCGTACAGATCCGCCACTTCACAGGCAGGTTAAGGGGACCCCCCAGGCACGAAATTTTTCATTTTTATTGTTTCATTTCAAGCAATGTTAAAATCACTGCTCCTTTAAAAACGATATTTAAAGGAGAACTATGGGGTTAAGACTTTTCCCCATAGTTCTCCTTAGGGTAATGGGAGGACACAAACTAGCGTCCTCCCGTCACCCTAGGCTCAGTACACTGAGATGCCGCAGCTGAAGCGGATCCCGACAATTGTGCCAGGATCCGCCCAGCTGTGTGACTGACAGCTGGCTCTGCCTATCTAGAGGCAGAGCCAACTGTACCCGCCCCATCCGTTCCGCCAGTCAGCGCTGGCAGATTGGAGCGGGGAGGGGGGAATCCAGCCCCTCCCCTGTCACGGCAGAGAGCCGTGGCAGGATCGAGAGGTGAGCGAACGCCGGTATATATGTTCGCTCACCTCCCGATCTACTGAGCCGACCTGTGACAGTCTCATTGTCACAGGTCGGCTAGAACTATGAGGTGAGTGAAAAGCACTCGCCTCATAGTTCTCCTTTAAAAACAATTCCCATTGATTCCAGTACACCAGGGCAGAACCCGGAACCCCATACACCTTTTATGGCCAATAACCTGCATATAAGGCTTCAAAATGGGGACATTTGATTATCAAAAATCTACCCCTATAGACTTGTATTAAGTTCGAGTTTGAATTCGAACTTTTCCCATGTTCTAAAATGTAAATTCGAACCGAACACGACGGGTGTTCGGCTCATCACTAATGGAGATGAGGATGGGGTGTTCTGTAGTCCAGCGGAGAAGAACTGGGCAGGGCTGATAACATTGCTAGGAATTTCAGTACGGCAGCAGAGTTGTCAGCCGAATACAGGAAGTTGGATTTCTGGCAGGGAGAGGATTTTTTTTTGCATTTTCAAAAGAGGCAAAACACGGCGCAATGTACAATTACTGCAGAGATGTTCTGATTATGTGTTTTTATGTTACCCTGACATGCACTTTAATTCTCTGGAGAGTGGTCTTGTTCTCTTGGTGTGAAGAATCTTTAGCATTGCAGTGACCCTGATTCACTATAGGAGGAGAGAATTTTCAACATTCACTAAGCAACGAATAGCCAATCATGTGCAGTCCAAAAACTTGCTTGCACGTGATTGGATGACTGAAGTCAGCACAACTTCACCTCATTCACTAAGCTAAGTGAGAATTCACTCTCAAAGTGATTATAAGGTAGTTATATATAAAATCATCCTCACTGCCGGGTGTGTTGGATGCCGGGTCCCCCACTGGCGGTTCCACCCCCCAGCCCCCACCTCACTGCATTGTATTCTATATGTAGAGTGTTAAAGAGTAAGGGGGTTATTCACCAAACTGCCAAAAGGCAGCCGAGTGAATAACTGAACCGAAGTGAAGTGAGATGAACGCTGTTCGGCTATTCACTTCAGCCTTGTACGGCTAATTTCAGCCTTTACATCGGCTAAAATCAGCCGTACATCGGCTAAAATCAGCCGTACATCGGCTAAAATCAGCCGTACATCGGCTAAAATCAGCCGTACATCGGCTGAATTTGGCTGCACTTTGGAATTCACTCTCAAAGTGATTATAAGGTAGTTATATATAAAATCATCCTCACTGCCGGGTGTGTTGGATGCCGGGTCCCCCACTGGCGGTTCCACCCCCCAGCCCCCACCTCACTGCATTGTATTCTATATGTAGAGTGTTAAAGACTAAGGAGTTGATGTAGAAAACTTTCATCCGGCGTATAGCTGGGTGAATGCCGTTCACACACCATTACTGCCACTAGAGGGAGCCGAGGAGCATAGTAACTTCCATCTAATGAAAGTAATGCCGTGCGATCAGCATTCACCCAGCTATACGCTGGGCAGAAGTTTTATACATTAACTCCTTAATCTTCCTGGATTGTAAAGATAATTTGTTTTCTTTTCAAACAGAAAATTCCCTCATCATCTACATGTTCTCATTGTTGTACATTGTGCTATGTATGTGTTTATGTGTGAGCTTCTCTCCTCTATAGAAGGTGCCATCAGACCGGTGGTGACCTTCACACCCAACTGGGGGAAAATACTACAGAATGACTCCGTGACTCTAATATGTAATGTGACGTCTACTGTACCAGAGGAACCCCGGACCTATCACTGGTACAAAGACAACCAACCGATACCTGGAAAGCAACAGACCCTTCCAATAAGATCTTCAGGAGTGGGGGACAGTGGAGATTACCAGTGCCGGGTCAGTGGCAGTGATATCAGTGATCCCGTCACTCTGAGTGTTATAAACAGTAAGTTATCTGTCTCATGTGTCTCCATAATTCCAATATACTGTTATGTTGTCTGTGTACACACACACATATATATATATTTTTTTTCCTCCAGATTATCTCATTCTGCAGAGACCTCCATCTGCCTTTTATGAAGGAGACCCCCTGACTCTGAGATGTCATCATATGAAAGTTTTTACTGGCCTTCCAGCAACATTTTACAAGGATGATGAAGAGATAAAACCACAATCCCTCGATGAGTTTCATATTCATAAAGTCGATCTAAACACAACTGGACATTATAAATGTACCAAAGAGATAAATCGTGTGGATTATCCTGAGAAGTACTCAGCTGAATTGCCTGTCACTGTGAAAGGTGAGTCCCTATAACACAGCACATCCTGGAGATTGTAGGGGGAGTCTGCAGATGGTACGGGGGTCTGGAAATGCTACGGGGGGTCTGGAGATGGTACTGGACTGTCTGGGGATTGGTCACTGTAGTAGGAGGAGCTCAGTATGGTTTGCTGTGTGAACACTCTTTGATCTCCCAAAATCTAATATGAGATGACTAGACTAGGGATGAGGTTCATGTTCACTTCTGAGTTGTGCTCATGGTGAGCTTTGCATGTTTGCCAGGGCAAGTTCTCCCAGGGACCAAAAGCGAAACCCATAATGCTTTCCTGACCTGTGATCTCTGATCAGGTGAACATTATGTCTAGACACGTGTGCTGGCAAAAAAAATCATTTAGTTTTCATTCGACTTTTTCGTTAATTCGTTTTTTCGGGATTCTGACTAAATCTGAATTTTCGTTAGCGGACGCCTGTACGAATATTCTTTGTGAACGAATTGTCATTGCAGCAAAGTGACGTGAAAATTACTTTTCTTACAGTCCACAGAAGAGAAAAAAAAGTGAGATGCCCCCCAATTGACCCCCTAGGTCTGGTAGGAATGTTACAAGGGGACCCCCCCGAAAAAAAAAGTATGTGAGATTACTCCCAAAATTCATACCAGGCCTGTGCTCGGATCAAGGGTCTGGTAGGAATTTTAGGGGGGACCCCACATTTCCCCACCACATTTTTTGGAGATGTGGTTCACCCTAAAATGTCTACCTGATCAAAAGGGCCTGGTATGACTTTTGGGGAGAACCCCCCCACTTATATTTTTATTTTTTAACTTGGGGTCCCTCCTAACATTCCTGCCAGACCTAAAGGGTCTGATAGCAATTAGGGGGAAGTACACGCTTTTTTTTTGAATGTCTTCTGCAGACTGCAAAAACAAAATGTTGCTGCAGCCAAAAATCATACGTACTACCGCTAACGAAAGTTCGGATTTTTTTTTAAGTTGATGCTTAACACAACAAAACTTTGGGAAAAGAAATTCGAGTGCATCCGAAATGTTCCTTATCGGAAATTCGTATTCGTTGGCCGTGGTTTTTTCTGTCATTCGGAAATTCGAAATGCATCCGAATGTACGAATTTCAGAAAAATTCCTCCAAAAATCTTTACGAAACGAAACGCACATATAATGGGCCTTAATGACAGGAAGTGAAATATACAATAATAAAGACTCTGGATTTCAGCAAGAGAGAAGCAACCCAATTCCATCAATTTATCATTGTCATGATTTCCATTTCCAGAGCTCTTCTCTCCTCCGGAAATAAAAGTGCAGTACAGGGTAATAGAAGGAGGGGACATGACGGTGAGATGTGACACCAGACTGGATCCGCTCCGAGGTGGCACAGAGCTGCAGTTTGCATTCTACAGAGATGGACGGACCGTGCAGGAGTTCAGTGTATCTGATACATACAGAGTGCGGTCAGCTCAGCTGGAGAATTCTGGGAAATATACCTGTGAAGTGAGAACAGCGACTGACACTGTGAGGAAGAGGAGTGATGAGTTCTACATCCGGATATATGGTGAGCACATAACAATGAATCAGTGTCTTGTCCAATCACACATTACGGCTACGCAGTCATATATAATATTCACTTCCCATCTTCTGCCATTAGTAGAATGTAGTAATGGGAGTAATGGGAATAATGGGAGTAATAGGAATAATAGGAATAATAGGAGTAATGGGAGTAATGGGAGTAATAGGAATAGTAGGAGTAATGGGTGTAATGGGAGTAATAGGAATAGTAGGAGTAATGGGTGTAATGACCTTCACCAAGATTACCGGGAATTTCGGAAGGCTTTTCTAGGACCTTCTAATTTAAATTTGTAAATATAATTTTAAAAAAATAAACATCCAAAAATTACGTTTTGTACATTTTTATATCATTTGAATTAGGCCATTATCACGTGTGGGTATTTCATAATTTCTACAGCCGGCCTGTGAAACAGACTTCAGGAGCAGGAAGATCAGATTGTACACATTACCAAGTGATGTCACTCATGAGGGACACATTGTCCCAATAGAGATAGACCTGTCTGACTTAGTGATTGGCACACAAAGGGCTTCATAGCAGGAAGGCAGGGTAAGGCTTTTAAATATAAAGTCCCAGGTGCTTTGCCACCAATGGCATTGATTTACTCAAGGAGTAGAGAATTCTCACATAACGTAGAGAATAAGGTGGAATGGGTTTACTTTAAACCCCAAATCATGTGTAGGGATGAGTGGAGTGATTTACCCCGAAATGTATTTTGCTGTAAATTAAGAACATTTTCACAGAATGTTATCACTATTAGCCATGAGTTGGAATCTGCTAAAATTTGCCAAAATTTTGTCAAAATTTTAAACAAACAATGCCAAGTCAATGACACCTGCAACTCTCATTCTTTCTAGACACACTTGATGTGCATTTGGAATGAAATTCCTTTCTTCTAGTAGACAAATAAAAATAATTATATGTTAAAAATCAACAATTAAAACGAATTACAAATTTCTTTCCACATTTTTGTCTATTTGTATAAAAGGTTAGGGTTAGTGTCCTCGGTTCCTCAATCTCTAACATCACGTTCTCAGTTATTGAGGGACCAGAATAACTGAAAGGAGCCATTTCACCAAAAACAAGGCACTGAGTCCAAGGTCTTTTACTGTCTTCCCTGCAGAGGAGAAGGGTCCTTCTTCGGGGGCCTGAAGGACATGGACACTTCTTATTGGGTCCTCTCAGGATCCAGAAGACTGCAGTGGCTTGATAACAAGGTGACCTTTTGGTGTGGGCACAGACCTTGGCGCTTGACCCACTGGTTGTCACTCCAGAAGTGGTGCTGGTGAGGGACAAGGACGGCAGAGTTAGGAGTTTAGTAAAATTTTAAATAGGTGCAAAATGGGTGTGAGGTGGATGGGTGGAAGAGATGGGGCCGGGGAGATCTTTCCGGAAGATGGGCTTTAGAGTCAACAACTTCACCTTATTTACTTAGCTAAGTGAACATTATTTTCGAATTGAAGATTGTCTGCAAGGTCATCAGCCTCCAACCATTTAGTAGATCAACGTCAAAGAGTCATTTCTAAAGAGGAATTATGTTTTATTTTACCTATGTATCATCTTATTATCTCCTCAGATTACACAGTGCAGAATATTATACGTCTGGTGATCTCTGTATGTATATTAGCTGCTGCTGCATGCTTCATCTACTTCCACAACAAGTGGTAGAGAGAAGGAAGAGGAAGAACTTCCAAGAACCATTGAGGAAATTTTATTACGAAAATTGAAAAATTGTCTTGTTGAAGGAAAAAATGATTTTTTATGATGTTTCAATGTTTAATACCAATAAATAAACACACAGATACCTGATAATAATATAATATGATGAAAAATTAAGAGGGATCTGTATAGAGCTCACACAGCACACAGTACGGAAGTGGTCACTCCGATCTCTCACCATCAGAAGAGTCTAGGAGGAAGGAAATGCAGAGACGCTCTGATGTAGGAATGAAGATACCATCAAATGGAGATATTTTTAAGCTTTGCCACTTCTGATATTTTGTTACAGTTCTGTACGTTTTTGTCAAATATCTGTCCTGGTAACGTTCCCCTATGGAGCTGTATGTGTAAGAGGGGCATGATGGGTGCAGTCCAGAGCCAAATGTTAGGTAAGAATAGGATTCTGAGATGGAGGGGGTGGGATGGTCAGTTGGAGGTGTAGGAGGGGGGATAAGGCTGAATAGCATAGCATTGGTGGACTACCTTTGGTGGGAGGAGATTGGGGGCAGTCTTCTGAAGTTTGTGTAGGCAGGGAGCCATTTTGTGGCAAAAAAGTAAGTGCACTTTTCTGTTTTTTTGTTTGTTGTGTTTTTTCACAGTAAGAAAAAGTAGTCACCAAAATATTAATATGTAAAATATAAAAATGAAGTATAAAAGAATAATTTCTTAGGTTTTTTTCACAGTAAGAAAGAATAGCAGCAAAAACGGTAAAATGTAAAAATAAAGTACAAACAAATATATTTGCATTTTTGTTACACATAAAAAAGAATATGCACAAGAATAGTAAAATGAAAAATGTAAAAATAAAGTAGATAGGTACATAGTATTTGAGGTTGAATAAAGACACAGGTCCATCAAGTTCACCTATTGCGTGTATGTATGTGATTCTGCATGTGTACGAGTCTGTGTGATCTTGTTTTTAAGTGTACCTGTACCCCTGTATGTTGCGGTCTCTGAGGAAATTGTCCAAATGCTTTTTGAATGATTCCACACTCTCAGCTGATACCACTGCTTGTGGCAGCGAGTTCCAGACCCTAACCATTCTAACTGAGAAGAAGCCCCTACGCCCCTTGTGCTGAAATCTTTTCTCCACCAGTTTTAGGTGGTGGCCTCTAGTCCTTGTTAGGGAGTTTACTGTAAAAGGTTTATTTCTGATGTTGCTATCACCACTAAACATCTTGTACATCAAAACCATGTCCTCCCTTAATCTCCTCACTTCCAGTGTGAACATGTTTAGATTTAGTAACCTTGTCTCATAGCTTTGGTCCTCCATCCCCCTAATTAGTTTCGTTGCCCTTCTCTGGACTCTCTCCAGCTCCATGACATCCCTTCTGTGCATTGGTGACCAAAACTGGACCGCATACTCCAGATGAGGCCGAACCAGTGATCTAAGTGGTGAAATTATAGATTTTTCTCCACAGTACATCCCCCTTCTTAATACAAGACAGAACTCTGCTCGCTTTGTTTATCGCGGCCTGGCACTGCAAGCTATTATTCAATCTCTGGTCTACTATGACCCCCAAATCTTTCTCCATTCCTGACTTCCCCAGTGGAGTTCCCATTCATTTGTAATCCGCTTGCCTATTTTTTACTTTTACATTACTTTACATTTATCGACATTAAACCTCATCTGCCATATAGTTGCCCCTCCCCCATTTTATCCACAGACAGACAAACAAACAAATATAACTGTGTTTTTTCCTTATGTGCATGTATTTTATGTTTTCCTTTTATATTACAATAAAATATGTTAAAAATAAGAGAAAACAAATACATTTATGTGTAGTTTTTTTTATTATTCAAATTTTATTCATTTCATAGCAAATAACAATTACAATCACATGAATACATTTTACAACATATAAATATAAATACAAGTACAAGGGGAGAGACGAGTGTGGAACCCATTTAAAAGAGAACTATGGGGTTAGGGCTTTTCCCCATAGTTCTCCTTAGGGTAACGGGAGGACACAAACTAGCGTCCTCCCGTCACCCTAGGCTCAGTATACCACGTGAAGCAGCTCGCGGTATACAGAGACGCCGCAGCTGAAGCGGATCCCGACAATTATGCCGGGATCCGCCCAGCTGCGTGACTGACAGCTGGCTCAGCCTATCTAGAGGCAGAGCCAGCTGTACCCGCCCCCTCCCCTGTCCGTTCCGACAGTCAGCGCTGGAGGATCGGAGCGGGGAGAGGGGAATCCAGCCCCTCCCCTGTCACGGCAGAGAGCCATGACAGGATCGAGAGGTGAGCGAATGCCGGTATGTGTTCGCTCACCTCCCGATCTAATGAGCCGACCTGTGACAGTTTCATTGTCACAGGTCGGCTAGAACTATGAGGATGGGTGAAAAGCACTCACCTCATAGTTCTCCTTTAAAGAGCTAAGAAGCTTAGGGGGTGATTTACTAACCTAAACACACGCACGCACCAGGTGCGTGTGATTTTTACACAGCAAAACGTATTTATCAACCAAAAAGTCTCTAAAAGCATATTTCCACTAATGCCATATATGGAAAAATCCTGCACATGATGCATATATAATGCTTCTTCACAGTTTAGACAAAAATGGTTAGCTCATGCATTTACATTCCTGCATTCATCAACGCAAGCAACACAACATAGAGCTAATTTACACAACAGCACCTTGTAATTCATGCTTTGCTTTGCACAACACACCTGCTGGGTGTGTACACACTACAAAGGTGTTTAGATTCCACCCATAGATCATGCTGGGAGGGAACACACTACAGAGGTGTATACATGTTCGTGGTGTGTTTATAAGGTTAGTAAATCAACCCCATAGACTCCAATATTCCAGTTAGTTCCAAACAGACAAGCTTCAAAGTAAGCAAATGTTCCAGTTCCCAACACCAATGAGAATCAAAGCACCCTGATGTTACACCACATGGGTAACCACTCATAGACTACAGACATTTATGTGTAGTTAATCTTTTTATGTTGATATTTTTGCATCTTTTTTTTCCCCTTGCTATGAAAAAAATACACCAAAAAATAATAAGAGAACGTCCAATGACAACAATATAACACTCAGTAGCACTAAATAGTGATTTTTTTTTCTCAGGGATTATTTTTTTCAGCTAGGAAATTAAAAATTTGCCCGTGTATCTATAAAGCAGGCTGTAAATGACGGGGTTACCTAAGTCAGTTGTACACAATTCTTCATCTGTTATAGAATAGGTGGGTCAGTCTAAAATATTACATTTATTTTATTCCAGAGCCTCAGATATCATTTACATAGTGATTGGTAAAA